TGGGCTGGCATGTAAAAGGGCTTTTATTCCCTTCAAGGACCTGAAGCTCCATAATGCACCCCTCCGACAGCCAAACCCACCTGTTCTCTGATTGGATAGTTAAATTTGTGATTGACATTGGCCAATCAGATGAAAGGAAGAAAAATAGGGTCAAAATTTGTACTTGTAACTTGAAACTTGAGTGCAGAGTTTCACACGTATTCCACACACAAATTCACTTTACTCATACAAATCCTGATTTACAAGCACAAAATATTTATGACCACAATTTGAGCCCATAGCAACTGACATTTGGTTTATTGTCTGTGTTCTCTTATGAGCAAAATTCTATTTCATTCTATTTTTATTTACATTTTACAAAGCACCTCAACACTTCAATCTTAAGTGAAATTATCTAACAAGTCACAAACACACAGCTGACATGGATATGGGCGCCAAAACCAATTATTTTTTATACCAAGACAAATGAACTGGTTCTTATATAGTGGTTCAGGAAAGGCCTCGTTCACCCAGTCACACACATTCATAAACACACAATCAGATGAGACTGGAGGTGTTCGGGGCACTATGGCTGTGCGCTTGCTTACAACACATGGTGATTCCAGGCGGTCTCCCATTCAAGCCCGACCCTGCTGAGCTTCTGAATAATTATTTACTTCTTTCAAAGAAAGCCTGGGATGTTTTTGGCCTCTAGACCAGGGGTGGGCAACTCCAGGCCTTGAGGGCTGGTGTCCTGCAGGTTTTAGATGCGTCCTTGATCCACCACAGCTGATTTTAAATGGGTAAAATACCTCCTCAATATGTCTTGAAGGCTGTATCCCAATTCAGGGTCTGCAGCCTTAACGGTCCACAAGGGCTGCGTACTCCTACACCGCTAAGGCTGGAAGTGTGAGGCTTGTGAAATGGGACGGTCTAGCCTCCGTCGCGCTGCCCAGGTTGCCTAGCAACCATGATACTAACCGCTGGAAACATTTCATACAGCTTTGTTTGACAGAAATGAAGGAAAACATCGTTTGTTCATTTGTTTGTTTGTTTCTATATGAGCTTTTTGTGATTTAATAAGTATCTAAGGCATCTTACTTTGGTAATGTAAATATAATATGGCTAATATTACAGTTATTATATTAATCATTATTAGTTATTACAGCAGTGAACTTGAACTCTGTCAAACACTTCAGTAAAGATTCAAGTTGCAGTTATTTATATTTCCTGTCACCTTAAATCTTCATTCAAAAACATCTGCGACAGTGTGTATAGATGTATTATAGTGTATGTGAATGCCTTCAGATCTGGAAGGCATAAACATTCTTGATAAAGAATTTAAAATTTGTTGACAACACTGCCTTATTTCTAAAGAATGTAAATATGGTCTAAAATCCTTTCATTCTCAAAAGCATCCGTCTTAACACTAAACCTTGAAAAATGTGAAATCTTAGCTGTGCACAGCTGTAATCAAAGTACTGTTAACAATATTCCAGTAAAAGAGGAGGTAAAATACCTTGGTTTAATAATCAGTAAAAATATTAATGATGGAGAGAATAATAACATAACTTCTAGATTAAATGTAGTTAAATATTTAAAAAATATTTAATCATTGGCTAACACGTGATTTATCCATATTAGGTCGTATCATACTGTCTAAAGCAGAAGGACTATAACCCTTGTTATTCAATTTTTACATCTCCTAAAATGATTAAACTGTCCAATTCTATTATTTTCAGCTTTATCTGGAAAAATTAAAAACACATTATATACGCAAATCACAGTTAAAGACTATGAAAGCTTTAGACTTTGAATCCATTATTGCTGCGTTCAGGCTCAGATGGATGAACGACTGCATTTCCCTCAATCTATGTGGTACCATATTAAAACAAACTCTTTAATAAGCTCGGGGTTTAGATTTTATGCTCAAATGTGATTTTAAAATATCTGAGATTCCTCTCAAGTTGTCTAGTTTCTATAAGCAAGCTTTGAATGTTGGGAAACTCATTTTCACCCACAATTCTGTGTTGTGGAATAACAGGGTCAGAGTCATCAATAAGAGTCCTTATTTAAATCAGACTGGTATGATAGCGGTGTTTTGTTTTTGATCTGCTTGATAAAAAGGGAAACTTGCTATCTTACGAAGAATTTATTGATAAATATAAAATACACGTTTCATTTAATAATTATAATAAGGTTTGTAAAGCACTACCCACACCATCGTAAACACTTTAAAGTATTCACTAATAAGAACATGCTTACCTTCACTGACGGTAATACCTCAATAAAGGACAAACAATTTAATAATAAGTTAATCTCTAATACCTGTAAGCAAACAGTATTCTGTAACTATGTCAATGTCAGACATGACCTTGATAACACGTTGAAAGAAAAGTCATTTTCTTACCTAAAATAGCCACCTGCGCCTAAAATGAAAGAAACACTTCAGAATCATTTCTGACATTTATCCAGTTGGAGAAATTCTGTATAAAAGGTTTAAGTTTGAGTCTGACTCTTTTCTGTTCTTCCGATCCAGAAACACTAGAGCATCTATTTTTCAAATGTCAGTATGTTGATGCTTTTTGGTTTGAAATACTCTGTTGGGTTTCACTCAGAATTTCCAATATACCTTCCTTCACATCTAAGGATGTTCTTTACTTTATGGACACTCTGGACTCTGAAATCTCAGATGTTGTCAGTTTTGTAATAGTGCTGTGTACGTATTTTATTCATTCATGTAAGTGGAAGATGCCTCTCCTCTGTTTACTCTGTTTATTTCAAATATGAATAAAAAGACTATGCTGTAAAATCACAAAGTACTTGCTATTCTAATGTTCCTTATTATTTTACCCTAGAAACTTTTATTTTCTGCCTGTAAAGTTATGATGACTTGCTTCACCATCTTTATAATGTAAATTGTTACAATTCTGGTCTGTTTCCTTGACTTGTTTTAATATGAGCAGGACCCCGGCACTCGAGGCCTGGAGTTTCCCACCCCTGCTATAGACAAACGACACTTTTTGCTGTGGTTATTGGTTTGATCAACTCATTTTGTGGATGTTTTATAAACAAAGACTACATATATATACACATCACTGTGTGCATTTTGTTGCATCAGTTTACCCGCTAACAGGCATGCTCATGATGGAGTTCTGCTAGCTTGCCAGAAACATGGATCCACGCACTGACACGTTTTACAGACGTGTATACAAACGTTCAGATGTGCACACGTTTGAATAATTTCTCCTTTATTTTAAATGCAACAGCAGTCGTGACACCAAACAGCCATGTGCTCTGCTGGGCGTCCTCGAGCAAGACATTTTCAAGACATCAATCAGCGTCAAACTGTACCTCGAGCGTCGCTGAAACACACCAAGTGAGTACTTTCCTGCAGGGCAGTGGGTTATAGGAAGTATTTCTCTCAGGTGAATCCCTCCAACCTCCCCAACAACATCACCAAACAGGTGGTTGAAATGTTAAAACGAACTTAAACCA